ATCCTAGAGAAATACACCGACTGTTATAAAAATCTCAAAAATATTTTGAATTATTTTCACTTGAACGATGTCTGTTGTGAAACGTGGTGATCTCATAAGTCCTTCAGGTATTAAAAACAGACACACAAACATGGCAATGCAATTGGTCACTCCGCCTGACTTAATTGAAACCTTATGTGTCTGGTGTGGAATCCTGGGACTTTTGGAATGGTTCCAGGAATCCTCAGAATTCCTTTTTTCCCAGTAACTTTAGATCGCTCTCGCTGCAGCAGAAATTTAGCCAGAGGGAAAACGCTTGGATTTTTATCACCCAACTGACTGACACAGTCTGGACACATGGTTTTAAAGCATTAACACCTAAAGTAAGTTTTTTTTTCCTGCCTCATTCTTTTAATCATTTTAACATGAAGAAAGGGGTGTAAGAGGGAGAGAAGATGCTGTTTTTAATTCTTAAGCTCTGTCTTGATTTGTTCATTTTTGCATAGCGCGAACAAATTCTGGGATAAAAATTTTATAGCTTTTCTAGTCTTTTGTGTATCCTTCTTTCAGATTTTTCCATCTGTGTTCCGCTGCATGCATGGCAGGCTAAAGTAACCGATAACCGAGCTAGTGGATGGATCCGTTTGCCGGTCAGAGCAGGCTTATTGAAGAGCATTTTGTGGATTTTTTCTTCTATGGAATTCTTTCTTTCTTTTGTAATCTGAAGGAGAAGCATCGGTAAAAATGCAATTCAATAAAATCGGGGTAAATTATGGATGTTTGCAAGCAAATAGCTGCTGTAGTTTAGAAAATTGGTATAGACATATGGTATCATTATGAAGGAAAATAATCCGGATTCAAATGTGTGTTTGCTGGAAGAAACGTGGTTGCTTCTTCTGACTAAACCTTTATTAGCTTGTGTTGCCTATTGGTAGTGACTTGTCCCTTTTATTTTTTTATATGTATTTTTTTTTATTATTTTAGTATATTTTCTTTTGGTCATAAAAAAGGAGAGGTCGGTGCAGTTTTGGTAAGTCTGAAAGTTCCTTATCCAACAGTATAATAAAGTGTGAATATTGTCACACTTCATATGATTGAATTACAGAATGACATGTCATATCGCATCATGCACTGCATTCTGGGAGTGGACAACTGGTGTAAATGATTTGCCAGTACAAAAGCACTCCATCCATCCAGTTTCCATGACTTAATCGTTAGTTACACACTATAATTCTTTGTTCTCTCCACAGCTGTACCTTAATTTAGTCATTCTTTCTTCTACACTCTGCCATCCTTTATACACAAGTTTGAGCATGTGTTTACCACCACAGTACGTACTGCACATTAACAGGATTAGTACTCTAGTACATCTGCTACCCAATTGGAATTCACAGTCTTCAGATTATATAGTATGTGCGGATTACATAGTTCCCTTCAACTAAATTTAGGTGCAGAGGTAGATATTTCAGGTCCAGAAAGTAAAAATCCAGACCAAGATTTTATTTCAACCAACCGGTTGAGCATAAAGAATCACGGTCACAGAGTATTCAATTGGTCGGTTGCATAGCTGTCAAGTCTCCCGTTTTGGCCGGGAAACTACCGTATTTTACTCCTCTTTCCCGCCGTCCTCCCGTATTAGTATTTTCCCGTAAATCTCCCGTATTATAATATCATTTAAAAAAAAAATTCCTCTGCCTCTCCAAACTGAACTGTCAGTAGCCTCGCGAGAACTACCACCTGCTGTAGTCTGCAGGTCATTTACAACATTGACCAGGTCATAAATGCGGAGGTTAAAATGGCAATGCTGTGTTCCAAAAACAACGTTACTTTCACCTTCTGTGATGACTTCAACAAGGATACAAAGTCTGCAACAAATCTGTATAAGTCATTAGTGAATGCCAGAGAGCCACATGACTGAACATGAGAAATTAAAAGAAAATGTGTAATGAAAATCAAATGTAAATGACAAGTGGTTATTTTAGATTTCTTGCACACCTGTCTTAAAATGTAAGGGAGCTTGGTTGGGGTGGTGGGGTGGCTCGCGGTGGGTGCCGGAAAATTTCCCTTATTTTCATTTCAAAACTTGACAGGTATGGTCGGTTGAAACAAAATCTTGGTCTGGATTTTTACTTTCTGGACCTGAAATGTCTGCACCTCTGCTTAGGTGTGCACATGACAAATATCATTCCCCACGATGATAAAATGTTACTCCATTTTTTTTTTGTTGGATGTTGGTTGTTTAAATATATTAAAGGAATGTCAATCTGGGAAGGTTTTAATCAGCAATACTTTCAAAGACTGTCTCAAACAAAAATGTTTGCATTTTTATCCATTGGAAGATGCCTCTGTCTAAGCCAATATACAAATCAGGGAGATAATACATAAGAAGCATACAGCTGTCAAGGTAGAATTGCTAAGCTTCCATTACACAACTAGTATCATGGAATAGGGGTGTATTACTTCTGTCCTCCAAGCCAGTAGGTGGCGCTAATAGGTTTTTTGAGATAAAAAACAGCAATGGTCTGCCTACACCTGAAAGATCAAAGGGTGAATCTCAATACCAAGAACTCCAAGACTGTACTTGTGGTCTTGGCTGTAATAGGTGCTGCCCATGGCAACCTTATTTGAACCTAAATTTTTAAATCTTTGTCAGCAATTTGTCACTCAAAGGGGCTCCTTTAAAATAACGCGTAAGTACCTTGTACTGAAAACGAATTAAGTAGCAGGGTTTCAAATGGGCCGCCGGCAGTGTGCGAATGACACCAGGATAGCACTGAATCACTCGCTCAAATGAGCCTTGGTCAGCTCCCTGGTGTGAGATTTCCATGTCTGCATACGTGTGCCGCAACAAGTCTGCACACACATGCACACGCATTTACATGTATGTAACAGTTTTATTACCTTGTAAATAGTCTGTAGGGTTTGCAAACTACCCCAACACTTTTTATGGAGCTAATTTTAGGTGTATAATGGAATAATATACATTTGCCGTATGATTTCTTGGTGCATGTGAGAGTCTGAAAGTGTGAGGGTCACACCAGATGTGTGACAGTTGGCACCCCTGGCATTTTACTGGTCACCAACGTTGAGAAGTGTGCTCCTCTTATATGCCCAAAGCAGACATCATCTGCACCATAGAGAATAAGCCTCTTTCTCAGATGGTCTTCCAGTGTGTTGTGAGTCAAAGACAAGTTTGGTTTGGATATAGGTGAGAAGAAGGGAATAACATGGGAACCAGGAGTAAAGAAGTTATTTATAGATTTCGTGGAGGTCATTATATTGGTAGCTTTGATATTCTATTTTTCCCCAAATCAGCAAATGACAAGCAGCAACATCCCAGCTACACTGGTGCACTGTGAAGCTGGTCCTTCACTACTGGCTTCCTGGGACACAAGGGCCTTGTTGTCTTGTGCTTTGGCTGCACACACGACACCGCAAGCCAGCAGCCACTACACAGAGCGCAGGGAAAATGCTGCCTTTCAGACCAGGGACATGCTCACTGCCCTCGTGATTCAGCTCCGTTTTTTTTTTTTCCGGACTCTTCTGAAACCACAGCTTGAAAATTAGCCCTGATGCTGTCCACCGGTACTGAGTAGGGGGGGGGGGGGGGTAGTGGCCCCCCCTGGGTAGAGAACTTGAATAGAACCAGCTCATTGCCTCACACTGGGCCAACCGGACACTCAGGGGATGGAAAAACAGGTTCGTTTCGCAAGGCAACGGGATATTCTACAGGTACGGCCATTTTAAAGTGCTAGATAGGCCAGTCTCACTGTCATCTATCTGTCTAAAACAGAAAAAGGTGGTTTTACTTTTGATTTTGTGTGTGTGTGTGTGTGTGCGCACGTATGTTCACCCTGTGATCAAAGCCATGCTAATTGTCGTCTCTACTTGTTGTCTATAGTGTATGATTGTATGTATGTGTACAGGGTGTACCTCCTGTTGGGCTGGCATCCTGTGCAGGGTGTACCCCAGTCTAGTGCCCTGTGATGGACTGGCATCCTGTACAGGGTGTACCCCAGCCTAGTGCCCTGTGATGGACTGGCATCCTGTACAGGGTGTACCCCAGCCCTGTGCCCTGTGATGGACTGGCATCCTGTACAGGGTGTACCCCCAGCCTAGTGCCCTATTCTTCCTGAGTTGGGCTCCGGTCCTTTCTGGGGATCACTACCTAGCAGAGTGATGTCACCGTTTGACCCTTGACCAAGGCCCTTAACCCCAGTTTCACCAGAGACACCGACTGACCTGCTTTCATGTCACGATGGAGAAGGGTGTTCGCTAAATGATCCTGAACATTATAAGTGGTTAGATAATGGATGGATGGAATTGTATAAGATGGGCTATTGTTGTATTCAAGGCACATAACAGACAAGATGATCATAACAATAAAACTGATACATACAGTATATAACCATTTCATTTTGTCATGTTTGTTTTCTGGTATTGTAGCAATTTTCTGTCTGATGAAATTCTGCATTTGTAAAGTCTACTGGAGTTTTAATTTTTCAAGCTGTTTCGCATATTGCAGATCAGAAGAGTTTATATCAGATTGAGGAATTTCCCTAAATAAAATTTTGCAATTTGTGTTTCTGGAGGGAAGTGCTTAAGCAGACTATTTTAGGGGGTGTTTGGGAAAGGCCGTAATCATTTACATTTACTCACTCGTCAGAATATAAGCCAGATTCTCATTACTCTGTGAGTATCATTATTATTTTTTTGTGAGTGAAAAATTACTTTTTCCTTTGGATGAAAGTAGATCTGTGTTGTGTAAATCAGACTGCTAAAAAAACATTGCGTCCGTGAGTAGACAGAAAAGTTCAACTTCAAATGTTCAGCTTCAGCAAAGGTTGTCCGAGTATCCTTCTTCTGTGGGTTGGTGGGCGTCCACATCTTAGATATTGTTTTCCGCTCCTCAGCACAGGTCCGACCTGTGAGTATTACTCAACACGGGAGTGTTCAGAGCCACCCATGATGGATAAACAAAGGTTTGCTCGGATTATGCTGAGCCTAGTTTTCTTTTTATAGAGAACTGGAGACCCGGTGCAGGTGGGAACGAGGTCCTCGTCTTGCAGGGGACCGGGACTGAGTTTGAGAGAGTGGGTGGGCATGTGGGAAAGAAAGCCTCATTTTACGGACAACCAGGGAGCATGTGGTTAAGTGAAAACCAAAGGCTCCTTTTACAGTGAACCGGGGAGCCGGTGTGGCTGAGGAAGTGGGGAGCAAGAACTCCTCCTAAAGAGAATCCAGGGGACAGGGGTCTCACTAAAGGCCCCATGAAAGCATATTATATTGGGCTCCAACCCAGATCGATCGGATTATGTTCCAAATTTTTAGGGCCACGGTCACTCATGGGCCGCTGTAATCGTCCTAACTTACCCCCGCTTTATGGCACCCCTGTCGGGGGACGTGTGTGTGTAGGAAACCAAGGCCTGGTCCAACAGACGATCCAGGAGGGGTGCGAGTGAAAATAACGCAATTCTCTCGCCGAGAACCAGCATGGGTGGGAATGAAGATCTCCTTCTGACACAGAATAACCGTAGAGGGCTTCTGGATGTTAGCTTAGCGCTTATCAGATCAGGCCTCATCTACCGATATTCACCGACGCTGAAAAAAGTTTGTATTATCTTTCCGTAGCAGCCGAGAATCCATGTTGTATTAATGCAGGTTAATGTAGGAGAGTCGTGGCGTTGTCTCCTGTGTCTTCTTAGACCATCCGGTGAAGCTTATCTTCTGCAAATACTGTTTTGACCATTTTCTCTGCATAAATGTGTTATCAGTGTGAGATAAAGAGGTACATAGAGACAATTATGGTCATACGTGATGAATGTTAATATGTTATATATTGTTGGCAAACAAGAAGGATGTTATTTGACCTTAAATGCGTGGATAACACCAGGCAATTGAATTCCTAATTGCTTTGGACTCCCGCCAGATTTTAAGTCCTTTATGAGTTCAGCCCAGGTTGATTATTAAACAGTTGCACAGGCCTGAATGTCAGTATAACTTAGTACTGATTGTGTTGATTTGTGGCTTGCAAGTGTGGCAAACCAAGGATTCATTAAAACTGTTTTAGTAGTGCCCCCCACAGCACACAGCATTAATATAACAAGTCAGTGATACACTATAAAGGAAGTGCAGTTACATGCATGATATACTGTATGCTCTGTGGCACCACTGATGGACAATGACTGTATTGTTACTTCACAACATCGATGGCCTGACTCCTCTGCTCTCCCTCTCACCCTTTGACACTTTGCTCTCCCTCTCACCCTTTGACACTCTGCTCACCCTCTGATTCCTTTGCTCTCCCTCTCACCCTTTGACACTCTGCTCACCCTCTGATTCCTTTGCTCTCCCTCTCACCCTTTGACACTCTGCTCACCCTCTGATTCCTCTGCTCACCTTGTCACACTTTTGGTGTGCAGCCTAATTTGGTCCTTATTGTTGACACTCGGAATCCTTGTTTTTTAAGGTACGATTTTTGTTTATTACTGTATTTTTCCTCAGGACACGTTATTAGTAACTGGTTGGCATCCCATCCTGGGTTGTTCCCTGCCTTGTGCCCTGTGATGGCTTGGTGTCCCATCCTGGGTTGTTCCCTGCCTTGTGCCTGTAACCTCCAAGTTAGGCTCCAGACCCGCAGCGACCCTGAACAGGACAAGCAGTTTCAGAAAATCGATGGATGTTAGAACTCAAAGCTTTTCATTAAAGCTTTTGGATTGCAACTGCTATGCTCAGAATCTTGTCTTATTTCTCTGGTTGTTTTAAGTACAGTTCACTGACATTCTGCAGTTAATATTGCAGCTGCAGCGATGAAGATTCTCTCTCGCTCTGACGTTCTTCGAAAGATGGATCTTGTTCTGCTGATTCTGGTCTGCCTGCTAGGAGAAGTGAGGTCACAAGTGAACCCAGGTAAGGGAATCGATCAGGGGCTCGAAACTCCAGTGAATTCAGGTCTTGCCATGTCCTGTGCATCAGTTCCTATATTCTACAGTTCCCTACACCAGACGCCATATTGCAGATTGCAAAACAATTCCCATTCTCCTTGTGCATGATACCATGTGGATAATAGTCTTCTTTCATCCATGACTTAAAGTAAATATTCTAACTGCTAAGCTGGTTTCCCAAACACTGATTCCACTGAACCGCCACGTTTGTTGTGCAAGATTTTAAAAGATTTGTATTCCTTGGAAACACTCCAGCACAATTATGTGAGTCAAGCACTTAACTCTTAACTGTTCTTGTAAACATAAACTTGGCTTCTCAAATGTCACCTTTCAATGTGAAGATATAGTCCTCAAGTGAGTTGCTGACGCTCAACTTAAAAACTATTAAATGATGTAAGAAGAATATAAAAGCTGGTGATGCTGCACTATTCATTTCCAGCATTCTGGGGGACAGAACCCTGCCACCTCCAAATCTACGCAGTTTGGTAAATTTCCTGTACTGTGTATATGTGTGAGCTCTGAGAAGGCAGTAGATGTACTGGGAGAGCATGAGGTCGCTGGAATGGGGTGTGTGGCGTTCCCAATATCTCTGCAAGAGGACAAAGGTCCTGATGCTCCCTGTCTCGCTGTTTGGCTGCGAGACGTGGACGCTATCCAGTGAGCTGTGATGAAGATTGGATTCCTTTGGCACCATGTCACAGCGGAGGATCCTTGGATACTGCTGGTTTGCCTTGGTGTCAAATGAGCAGTTGCTCAGGGAGTCCCGAATGAGGCACATTACCTGCATTGTGAGGGAGTCCCGAATGAGGCACATTACCTGCATTGTGAGGGAGTCCCGAATGAGGCACATTACCTGCATTGTGAGGGAGTCCCAAATGAGGCACATTACCTGCATTGTGAGGGAGTCCCAAATGAGGCACATTACCTGCATTG